CCCCCTCCGTCCAAATTCCCCACTCCCTCATGTCAACCACTAAATCCTTCGGCAGCTCCCCCTTATTCACCAATCCGGCCCCTAACCAACAGCTCCTCGCATCAAAGTACTTCTCGTCCTTCCTTATCGCGCCCTCAAACCTCTCCAGCGCGGTCCGCAACTGTCCCAGCGTAGAGCGCAGCTCATCCCTCGAAACGCCCTCTGACGACCGGTCCAGGCCAATCAGGTACATCCCGCGGAAGTCGCGGCGCTCGGCCTCCTGGCCCTCCTCGGCTGCACCGGCCTCCTCGCGCTCGACGAACCGCGCCGGCCATATCCTGGCGTGCAAGACTCCGTTCGTGCGTCGGGAGATGTCGACTAGCAGAGAGACGAGGCGTGATTCCAACCAGCCAAGGAACTGACTGCCGCGGGACCGGGACAGGCCCCAGTAGGAGGCGTCCAGGCGGATGTAGGTTTTGTAGGCTGAGAGGAATTCCTGCACGCCGGTTGTGCCGTTCGAGCCAGTGCCCGAGAGGAAGAAGGCCCAGTCCGTGACGTTGCCAGAAACCAAAGCCTCACCTGCGCGGCGGAACTCATCAGCCAGAGTGCGCGCGGACGACGGGGATGCTGCCGCAGCTGTGTTTAGCGCCGGGGGGAAGTACCCCAGGATGGCGATTGGCTCACGGAAAGGGACACGGTTATATGGCAACCGGTTACGGTGGAAGAAGGGGTCGAAGGCGAGATGCGTAGACCAAGGGAAAGAAGCGTAGTGCGTGAAGAAGGTAACCAGAAAGTCCTCAACCGTAATCGGGGTCTTCACGTCGGGATTGTTGGCGAGCAACTTCGCCACACGTGCGACCAGAATAGCGATCTGAATGCCGCTGAGGAAGCCAAAGCGCGACGTGTATACGCCGCGGGCTTTCGCCCATGCCCGGATGGCGCGATTCGCGGCGCGGAAGACCCTGATGTTGGGCACAGTCCGCCGCAGATAGTCCATATCCCGAACGGCCTTGAGCTTGAGCAGCGACTGCGGGGACAGATCCCAGACGGGATCATTCGGCGCCGTGCGCAGGACGTCCCCCCAGCGCTCAGCGATCGTTGTGGCCGGGCAGCACTGCAAGTCAGTCTTAATACCGTGGATCTCGAGTTCAAGCATGGTGCCCGTGTTGGCGCGCACGCGGCGGATGATCTTGATATCCTGTGGCGGGACCTTGCGCAGCGCGCGTGTGACCAGCGCGAAGAAGGTTTGTGCGCTGAACGGTCCGATGCAGAGTACGTCCAGATCGGACGAGGAAGTCCACACGCCGAGGCCGTACGAGCCGACAGGAACGATGACGATAGGAGCCTGGAACCGGGAAAGACCTGATGGTACGGTGCTGGCGATCACGTCGGTGATGGTGTTCCGGAGCAGGTCGACTGCCTGCTTACGTGTAGCCTCCTCCTCCTGGCTGGGGATGACTCCTAGCTGGATAAGCGCCTTCTCCACACTGCCCGGTTGAGAGAGAGGCTGGGGGGCTTGAGCTGGCTCAACAGGCACGACAAGCTTGCTGATCTCCTCGGAGAGCTCAACACGCCTTGTGCTGCGTTCATTAACCTCCAGTACAGCACGAACGCCCCAGTGATCGCTTGCGAACTGCTCGTCACCGTTCTCGGCCGGCTCGGTAATGAAGCCAAACTTGTTGAACTTTTCCACCTTGAGCAAGCCTTCGCCGCGGACAAAGATCCTGTCGAACCGCTGTGGGCAGAGGTTGCCATTGGCTGCGCCGTTGACAGCTGCCGCCTTGTTGGTGTTTGGGTTCCAGGTAGCGCCATCTTCGTCACCAGACGAGCCAATTCGTTCGTGGTATGTCTCCCATGCATCGTTCAACCCGTGCTCGGCGAAGATATCGGCGAGCTCGGCCAAGGTGGCGGCAGTTGTATCGGTGATGTTCTTGCTCTTGAGCGCCTCATTGATCGCGTCCGCAGACGTCCAAATGTTGGTGTCACCGGCCAGGATAGTGGGGTGTCCCGGGTAGGCGCTGGCCACGTAGCGCAGGAGCTGATGGATATCTTCCTTCTTCGAGGCCACAGCAGCGTCGGTGAGGCCGCGGCTGAGGTGGAGAGCAGCAAGCACGATGGGAAGAATTTTGTCCTCGGACACTCGCCGCCCGACGTGCCGGAATGTCGCGACAAGGGCACTCTTGTGCTTGGATGACAACGAAACGTATTCCCAAGAGAAGGGCACCTTGCTTAACACAACAATGTTGAGGTGACTGGGCAGCGGGTCCACATCATCCTGTCTGGGAGGACCATGGGAGCAGTAGGGATAGGCGTCGCGGAGATCTTGTGAGGCAAGAAGGTACGACAAAAAAGCATCAGTAACCTCCTGAAGCACCAAGACGTCTGCCTCGGCCTCGGGATGCAGGATATTCTTGACCAAAAGCGGGTAGCGTGACTCTGATGGTGGCCACTCGAACTCAGCCATCACGTTATAGCTGGAAACCGTGAGCCTCGACCGGGAGACTTCGGATGGGCCGTCTGGTGAAACCAGGTCGGGTCGGAAGGAGAGCCAGACATTGAAATCGTCATTGAAGAAGTACGGCAGCGAAGTAAGAAGCTCATTCTTCGCGGCCGAATTCTTGGATGGCTCTTCGCTCTCGTCGTAAAATTCCTGGGGCACTTGCTCCTTCTGGACTGTCCCATCCAAGCCAATCGTTCCCCATAGCCTCATCCTAGTCGTGTTGCCATCACCACCCTCGAGTCTTTCTCTGACCAGGACACAAAGCTCGGCTGCCCTCCACTCAACCGCCGGCACAAGCCCGACCTTTTCGAATAGAAACTTGTGTTGCGCACTCCGGACGTCTCCCTCACTTTGAGCAATGGTCATGTGGGGGGTGTAGCGGTCATCGTTCTTGCCCAGAACCGACAATATCTCTCGTCGTAAGTGCGAAAGTCCATCAATATGCTTTTGGTTGTCGTCACACAAGTGGATTGTGTTGTTACCACGGCCCTTATGTCTAAACACCCCGACCTTGTTGAGGTGAAACCAGAGACTCGGGGGTGTATCGTCATCGCTATCATCCTCATCCCCGACTCTCAAAGGGACATAACAGGAGAGCGCCTTTGAGATTTGCACAACGGCTTCATCTAAGCTCTCAGGGCGCACAAAGGGATAGATGACATTTATGTGGGGTGGCCACTTGAGGTAAGCAGCGTCGTAGACTGAACGCAGGCGATCAATCCGATTCCAGAGGTGCCGTGGCGGGATCACAGCAAGGGCAGTCTGATAAGAGTTAAGGGAGAAGGACTTTTGTGCTGAGTTTTGAGAAGATAATTCCGCCATGATTCCTCTGCACTTGTTTCTAGATCGAGTCTTGGGTTGTTCCGTGGTGAAGGTAAGGTAGAGACGGGAAGAGAGATATGGGAATTTGGGTTTTTGGTGCTTGTAGGTTGCGAAAACTGGAGAAATTCTTAGCGCAACAGCCTCGAACCCTGACAAAAGAACCGGCTGAATTATACGTCTCTTGATGAACGTCGACATCAGCTGTGTTGTAAGACATTCCCCCTTAGCTCCCTGCGTTCAGTTGCTGCGTCGGCCTGGACCGCGCCAAGAATGAGCTGAAGGGGCAGAGTTCGTTGAGGTGCCGGTTGAGGTTAGCGCCAACGCTCCGGTGACTCACTGCCGCGCTGCGTTTGAATAAATTGACAGACAACCAAGATCTCTTTTGGTCAGCGCTCAGCGACGGTGAGGAGTAACATCTTCCAGAAAGCGGTCGGCAAGCTCCTTCTCCCTTGTCGTTTTGGGCAGATAACTGGGAAGAGGATCTCGGGGCAGATTGTGATGGGTAGTTTAAAGTTGTACTCATCATGATAGCCAATTGGTAACCGAATTCCGGGATGTTGGATGCAAATCCATACTTGTCACTGTATAAAAGGCTAGGGCTAAATTTCACAGCTCATGTCGTCAATGAAGTGTGGAATCTTCAAGAGCTCATCAATCTTTAAAACTTGCTTCCTTTCAGCCATGAGATTTAGCCTTGGATCTGGCCGTTATTAGCACTGATGAACAGCTGCAAACAACAGACCAAGTATGGGACAAGCTCAACCAACCCGCTGGTGCATGAAAGCGCCCGAGAGCATCACCAAAGTGGAGAGTTGGGGGCCGCCTTTCGTGGGGTCAGCCCTACGGAAGGTTGAGGCGGAGCACCCCTGTCATCAGTCCATTTATCGGCCAGAAGGGTGTTGGCGTTGTTAGGGGTTTTCTCGGCCAAATTCTGGAATTGGGCACCGTTGGTTTTTGATGGAGAAGAGTTGGACGAGCAAAGTTGGAGTTGAGCCATGGGTTCTTGACGGTTTCGTGGACTAATCAATTAAACCTGGGATGCAACTTCCCAAGTGCAAGCTCCTGCCAGGCAGCAGTTCGGTTTTCAGGGTCAGGGCGTGCACGGATCACATAAGATCAAGCCCTAACAG